ATCAGTTTGCAGAAAGAGTCCTGTCAGTTAGGTAAACAATGACCATAATGAACCTCAGGAGGGAGGGGAGTAAGATTAATCTGCACGTGAGTTCAGTTGTAGAAATGGAGCATCTCATGCAGGTGAAAGCTCTACACTCTCCAATTTGGGGAAGTTCCTCAAAAGAGAAGAGAACCGTCTTCAGGTCTGGAACAGAAGTCCTGTTGTTTAGTTTTGGTCGATGGGTAAAACCCCTCCAGATGTTCTAGGATTTTCACACCAGAGCTGACTGCTGTGGCCTCAGTGTACATCTGCAAACAGCGCAAAGTGAGACTTCATCACTCAAATCACAAACGGCTCCACGAGGCTCTCTACAACTGATCTCAGCAGCAGGTTCTGCGGACCAGCGCCGGTGAGCAGGCCTCTGGAGGTTTGCAGGCGTGAGTTTTGTTGTGAGAGCAGATTTGTGGTGCAGATTAGAATCAGGGTTAACGTTTTTCTGTAAAATTTATGTTCTGTTTCTCCTCTTGCTGTCAGTTTATTACAAAAAGCTGCTGTGACGTTTGGAGCAGGACAGATCACATGAAAGTATTCGGTGTGTTTCACACAAACATGTTTGAACGTGCTGCTTCAGAACAGGTCCGAACAATTTCACCACTTCAATTTAATCAAAAACACTAAATGTTTCGCTCGTTGTCGTTTGTCCTAGAGCCATGATAAATGTTATAACTTTCGCTTCTTTCATTTTCGAATGTAACAAACACATTTGTCTGTAGTTTTTGATTAAACGGTATTGTTGCAGAGCTCTGAGTTACTTGAACTTAACACGAGGTCAAAGAAGAGATCCACAGGAAAACAAGCAGGGCTTTTATTTTTTTAAATTAGTTCAAACGGCAGGAGGTTCTGCACAGCGGGACGCAACGATGGAGTTCTGTTGGTTGGAATATTTCAGAACCACATCCTGTAGTGGATGATGGTTTCAACATGACCAGTGCTTTGTGTATTTGTGCAGTCGAAGTGCAGAAGAGTGTAACAGTTTCCGAGTTAGCAGCATCCAGACACTTAAGATCTCAACAACTCCTAATGTCAGCCTGAAGGCGGACTGTAGCGTTTATTTTACATTTTTTTTGTACTGACAATTTTCCAAAGGGGGGTGGGACGGCTCAGCATGAAGGAAACGGAGCCCCTTTTCTCCTTTTCTAGCTTGTTAGTTAGCACGTCTGTATTGGGTGCTGCTAGCTTAGCGTACATCTCTGCATGAGTGCAGCTACAGCGTGCGCTCTCAGGACATTATTACCTGCAGTGTCCCCTCAGTGAGGACTGAACGAGGCAAAACGGCCTTCTCCTACTCCGCTCCTGTTTCCTAGAATATCTTGCAAAAAGATCTGAAGCTCTTGACCTTGACCTCTCTAAGTGGCTTTAAACATCTGCTAAGTTCATGGCAAAAACCAATACAGACATGTTCCTGTTTTTAGATTTCCACATCATCTTACAACCTAGCTGGGTTTTTTTTGTTACATTTGTTTCAATTCAATTTTATTTTCACTTATTCTCAATTTGTATTCATCCTTTATGGTTGTCTGTTGTCGTCATCACTCTTTGTTGAAATCAGGTCTCTCTTGTAAATGAGTTCCCGAGGCTCAATGGGATGAACCTGCCTAAATAAAGGTTGAAAGAACGTGGGGGAAAAAATGACCATGCCTGACCAGACATGAACAAGAACAAGATGGCATGAATATCAGGGACCATGGAAGGTTTAATAATTCGGCACTGAATGAGTGTGGGCGTGGAGCTTATAAAAGGGCTGAAAACAGGCGAGTGGCATGAAGGTTGGTTACGGTGACGAGGCAGAGTGGCTGTAGTGGGGGTGACAGGAGCAGGCATGAACAATGACAGGAGCTGAGAGGTAAACAAAACATGAAGGCAGGAACTGTGGCATGAGAAGCAGAAAACGTGACCTCACGAAGGGGCAGAGTCGTGAGCAGATGGGGGGCCAGGGGCCGCTGATCATGACATCATGTAGACGTCACACAGACTTTGTGCAGACTTGGCCTAGACTTCACACGGACATGGCACTGACTTTGTGCAGACTTGGTTCAGTCTGGGTGGAAAAGGCATCTCCTTGTGGCTGCAGGTGTCTTCGAGCCCAGTCTCTCGTTATCTGACAAAAGTGTTTGAGTTTGAATGTAAAGAGCAAAAAGACACTTGGGTTGTGCAAGAGTAAACATTTGGTACAAAACAGCTGATCCATGTCTGGCTTGACTGAACGCAGGGTCTCGACGCCCGCTACTGGATCTGACAGGAGTGTGTAGAAATATTAAATGAAAACATAATTAAAAGAAGAATTTTTATTTGCAGAGGAATTTGATCTCCGTGTTTATTTTGTCAGGGTTTGGGTTTTTGCGGCAGCTGCAGAGGACTCGGATTCGTGACGAACCAGGAAAACTTTAAACATCCTTCATTCCACAGAAAAGCACTTGAGTGTCTGCACAGAAGGACGGTTAAAACCAAACCACCCGGAGACTTTCTGCGTGGAAATCAAACAAGTTTGTCAAAGTTGGAAACTATTTAATTTTTTTAAATCGTCTTAAGTGAAACTTTAAGCAGAATCTGAACCTCAGACGTTTCTTCAGTAGTTTTGTGTTAATAAATGATCAGATTTAGCTTTTTGTTACCACTGTGAGATGTTTGAAGAGTTCAGTAACACGGGATTTATTAAACAAAAACAACCAATAAACGTCTGATATGTTGTGCTTAGTTTGGTTTATCGAAATGACCCGGAGCATGCTGGGACTTTTCCAGCTGGGTCCATGTCGGGAGCTGCGAACGGATACGACCCCGGAGGTTTGAGCTGAGTGACAGTTTCCCAGAGATCAACACAGATATCAGCCGAAAAACACAACTGACCATCTGGAAACCATCTGCTTCGGCTCCTTCGACTGCTTCCTGTCTGCCTTAGATCATCAGATCATCAGATCGTCAGATCGTTAGATCATCACAATTAGATCGTTAGATCATCAAATCATTAGATAATTAGCTTGTTGTATCATTAGATCATCAGTTTGTTAAATCATCAGATCGTCATATCATTAGATCGTCAGATTGTCAGATCATTAGATCATCAGATCGTTAGATCGTTAGATCATCACATAATTAGATCGTTAGATCATCAAATCATTAGATAATTAGCTTGTATAATTAGATCATCAGTTTGTTAAATCATCAGATCATTAGATCATCAGATCGTCAGCTCATTAGATCATCAGATCGTCAGCTCATCAAAACATTAGATCATTAGCTCGTCATATCATTAGATCATCAGTTCATTAGATCATCAGTTTGTTAAATCATCAAATCTTTAGATCATTAGATCATCAGATTGTTAGATCATCACATCATCAGATCATTACATCATCAGCTCATCAAATCATTACATCATTAGATCATGAGATTGTTAGGTTATTAGGTCATTTTTAATTAATTTAGCCTTTATTTATACAGGCTAGTCTCTGATCATCAGAACATTAGATTGTTAGATCATCAGATTGTCAGATCATTAGATCAGAAGATCGTTAGATCATCAGATTGTTAGATCATGAGATTGTTAGATTGACAGATCATCAGATTGTTAGATCATCAGATTGTTAGATCATGAGATTGTTAGATTGACAGATCATCAGATTGTTAGTTAAATTATCAGGTCATACAGATCATTAGATCATCAGATCATTAGATCATCAGATCATTAGATCATCAGATCATTAGATCATCAGATTGTTAGGTCATCAGATTATTAGGTCATCAGATCATTAAATCATCAGATCATTAAATCATCAGATCATCAGTGCCCTGAAGAGTGTAAAACAGGTTCTCTGGTTTCTGCTCAGCTCGTCCTGACAGCTGGAAGGAGATGTAATCGGGTTTTTTTTTACACTCATTGTCAGAACTCTCTCTGCTCCAACATCGTCTCACACAGAGTGTGAACTGGACCGGGTCGGACCGCCTGCAGACCAGCTCTGTCTTCAGTTGTTTGGAGATGGAAACTGTTTGGGTCTGCTTTCAGCTTCCCTGATGTTGCCCACTGCAGAATTTCCTGGCGTTATTAAAAACCGGGGGTTCCTGGCCCGGTGTTGGGGTGCAGCTCAGAACCTTTCTGGTCTGGTGGGATCGTGGTTTCCTTCAGGCTGCTGAAGTCCAGCATGGAGATAAATGTGTGAAAGCAGCCACAGGTTCTGGGTTCCGAACGTTTTGGGCCGGTTCACTCCGGGGTTTTATTCCTCAATATTGTTGTTCGAGTAATGGACGTGTCAAAACTCGTTGGTGGAAACTGATTCTGGTTCAGTTTTTGTTCTCCCTGCAGGACGATGAGCATCAATAACAATAAATCACAATAAACAATAAATAAACAATGAATCTGCTCCACATGAGAGACAAGATGGTCATTTTTATTGCTTCATTGTTTTTTTTATTTGTTTAACAAGGTTCTGTTGTTCAGACCTTTGACTAAAAGTCTAATTTTTCCAAAATAACTTTTATTTTAAAAATTGATTTTAGAAATAATTTTAGAAATTGTGTTTCGTTAAACGAAGGTTTTGTGGAAATGAGGACATTTTTTTTAAAAACCACAAGGATGAGAAATTTTCTACATTTTATTTTCCTCCAGCGTTCTGGTTCTGATGTAGAATCTCGGTCATGATGATCCAAAGAGCTTTTGATTTGTCTCGTCTTAGTAACGCTCACTCAGATTATTGTAGCACGGTGGCTCAGCGTCTGGATGACGGATTTGCAGATTAAATGGAGGTAAAATGTTTAAAAGTGAAGTTCTGCTGCGAACAGAAAGTTTAACATTCGTGAAGGTGTTGGATTGAACCGCTGGGGTTCTACAGACAACATGACGTGCTCAGAAACATGCACGCTGTACGTGCACGCTCCTATCCGTCAAACTGTCAGATGTGACGAGTCAGATGGTCCCGACCGAGCGGTGCTGCTCGATAAAGCTCTGATTTTGTTTTTGTCTGCAGGCCTGTTGGTGATGGCTCCTGTTCTGACGGCCTCCCCCTCAGCCAGCATGTGCCCCCCCCTGAGGACGCTGAACGACAGCCTGAGTCACAGGAGGCGCTACATGGTGAGCGCAGAGCAAGTCGATTAAAAAATGTTTTCTGTAAAAGCCTAACGACGGACCGGGTCTGCAAAGTTTGGAGTTCCTGTGGGTCCTTTTCAGGTTCCAACCAACAAAAACGAAACTCCTAAACCCTAACCCCATCCCAGCAGCAGGTTCTGGCCCGGCTGGCCCACAAACACCACATTTAAGAGTAAAGCAAGCAAACATTCCTCAGTGGCTCAATATCAACTCCATTCTGTTTCCAAGCCGTAAGGTTTTCCTTATCCGCAGGTTCTCAGCTGAAATCCAAAATAATCTGAGAAACCCACAAAGAAAAGTTGTTTGAATGAGATGTTTGTGTGTCTACGTTACAGAAGCACAACTTCCCCATCAACTACTCCATCCGGGTTTACCGCCAGGAGATCTTTAAGCTGTCAAACATCAGCCGGATGGTGAGAAACTCAAACACACAACCTGCTTCTGTTTCTGCCGCAGGAACAGGACTTTTGGTTCCACCGCTCCAAGATCAGAGCAGCACTAACTCCTTCATGCTGTGGTTCTGTTTGGACATGGTTCTGTGGAGAGTGTTGCGTTCAGGGCTCGTTGCTAACTATTCTTTTCTTTTTCATGAAGAGGGTAAAGGTTGAGGGCCTGGATGAGCTCGTCCTCCAGAGGCTGTGGTTTCAGATCAACCAAGGCGTCCTAAAAAAGGTAAACTTCACCTGTCAGATGGATCCACCTGGTTCTGTTCATGTGTTTATCACCTTGATTGACCGTGAAGATGCAGCTGATTCAAATGTAGCGATACCTTGATCCTCATTAGGAGGTTCTGCTGCTCTGGACTCTACAGATGTGTGTTAACACAATGCCAAGGTGGGAAGACATCAGCAGCGAACCTATAGAAGCAGCTGCTGCTGCTGTTTGTCAATCAGGGAAGGGTCAAAGGTCGTTTAGAGTCCATCGTTCTACAGAAAGATTGGTCACTCACAAGTAGAAACATTAAAACAGCTGATTCACCCTGAAGGTCAGACCGTGCAGTGACACTACAGGCTGCAGTCAGCAGATCAAAGGTCAGAAGTCTCTCTCTTCTCTCTAAAAACAACATGGCAGCACGACTTTCACCTAAAGGAACCACAAGACTTCTGGACCAGAACCAGACCAAAGGACAGATGTTTACCCAGAATGCACTGCAGCAAACAGCTCCTCCCAGCTATCAGCACGTTGGTGGAGGGCTGATGGTTTGGGCTCCTGTCAGTCACTGAGTAGAGCAGAACTCCTCTGGAGACCAAAACGTTCTGGAGTCAGATGTGTGTCCATCTGTCCAACAGCTGGGTCCAACAGAACCATGATCCCAAACAGCAGCTGATCCACAACAGAACGGGTCAGAAAGAACAGAACCAAGGTGCTGCAATGGTCCAGTCAGAGTCCAGAACCTGAACCTGACTGAAACACTGTGGTGGACCTTCAGAGAGCTGAGCAGAACCCTCAATGATGGAAAGAAGAGTGGGTCAGAACATGTTCATGGTCTGACATGTAGAGGAGGTAAAACTGATCTGTGGTCAGACTGTTAGAACTTAATGAGTTTGAGCAGATTTATGGCTCCATTTTTACCTGCTGGGTGAAGAACCACCTTTCACCCAGGTGAACATGTTTGTGGTTTGTGTTGTGGTCAGATAAAACCAGTAACGCCTGATGGTGTACTGAACGGTCCGATTCCTCGCAGCTTGCTCTCAGTGGGAGTCGCGCATCACAGTCGACGGAGAAAACGGATCAACGTTTATATAACAGGAAGTCTTCGTTAGTTCAGGCTCAGACTGGCAGGTCATCAGGTGGAAGCGAGGTTGGAAGTCCAGCTGTTCGTCACATGTGCAGAACTTTACCATCGGTCCCAATCAGGATGAAGCCTGACATTGGACGGTTGTAGTGATTAAACGTTAATGTTTTGGCAGGTTTTTTTCCCAGCTCTTTAATCCTGCTTTAAACTCAAAGTGAGGTCTCTTTTCAGATTATCCGGGTTTTGCCAGAGAGACATCCGTCCCGTCCGTACACAGCAGAGTTGGAGCGGCGCTTCAGGGACGCAGAGGGAGTCTTTGTCCAGTCTCATCCCGCTGAGGTAAGATGGAGGTCCTGGTTCTGTTCTGCAAATGAGCTCAAACATAAAGATATAAATTTAATTTTTTTGTGAAGAATCAACAAGTGGGACACAATCGTGAAGTGGAATGAAATTTATTGGATGTGTCAAACTTTTTTAACAATTAAAAACTGAAAAGTGGGGCGTGCAATATTATTGGGCCTCTTTACTTTCAGTGCAGCAAACTCACTCCAGAAGTTCAGTGAGGATCTATGAATGATCCAATGTTGTCCCAAATGACTGATGGTGATAAACAGAATCCACCTGTGTGTAATCAAGTCTCCATATAAGTGCACCTGCTCTGTGATAGTCTCAGGGTTCTGTTCAAAGTGCAGAGAGCATCATGAAGACCAAGGAACACACCAGGCAGGTCCGATATACTGTTGTGGAGAAGTTTAAAGCTGGATTTGGATACAAAAAGATTTCCCAAGCTTTAAACATCCCAAGGAGCACTGTGCAAGCAATCATATTGAAATGGAAGGAGTATCAGACCACTGCAAATCTACCAAGACCCGGCCGTCCCTCTGAACTTTCATCTGGAACAAGGAGAAGACTGATCAGAGATGCAGCCAAGAGGTCCATGATCACTCTGGATGAACTGCAGAGATCTACAGCTGAGGTGGGAGAGTCTGTCCATAGGACAACAATCAGTCGTACACTGCACAAATCTGACCTTTATGGAAGAGTGGCAAGAAGAAAGCCATTTCTCAAAGATATCCATAAAAAGTGTTGTTTAAAGTTTGTCACCTGGGAGACACCAAACATGTGGAAGAAGGTGCTCTGGTCAGATGAAACCAAAATCCAACTGTTTGGCCACAATGCAAAACGATATGTTTGGTGTAAAAGCAACACAGCTCATCACCCTGAACACACCATCCCCACTGTCAAACATGGTGGTGGCAGCATCATGGTTTGGGCCTGCTTTTCGTCAGCAGGAACAGGGAAGATGGTCAGAATTGATGGGAAGATGGATGGGGCCAAATACAGGACCATTCTGGAATAAAACCTGTTTGAGTCTGCAAGAGATCTGAGACTGGGACGGAGATTTATCTTCCAACAAGACAATGATCCAAAACATAAAGCCACATCTACAATGGAATGGTTCACAAATAAACGTATCCAGGTGTTGGAATGGCCAAGTCAAAGTCCAGACCTGAATCCAATTGAGAATCTGTGGAAAGAGCTGAAGACTGCTGTTCACAAACGCTCTCCATCCAACCTCACTGAGCTCGAGCTGTTTTGCAGGAAAGAATAGGCAGAACTTCAGTGTCTCCATGTGCAAAACTGATAGAGACACACCCCAAGCAACTTGCAGCTCGAACTGCAGCAAAAGGCGGCGCTACAAAGTATTAACGCAAGGGGGCCGAATAATATTGCACGCCCCACTTTTCAGTTTTTTATTTGTTAAAAAAGTTTGACACATCCAATAAATTTCATTCCACTTCACGATTGTGTCCCACTCGTTGTTGATTCTTCACAAAAAATTAAAATTTTATATCTTTATGTTTGAAGCCTGAAATGTGGCAAAAGGTTGAAAAGTTCAAGGGGGCCGAATACTTTCGCAAGGCACTATATACGCTAAATAATAATAATGTGAAAAAATACTGCACTGTATATTAAACAGCAGCCTGAACATGATTCTGTTGTGAGCAGACGGGTATAAATACAGCAGCTTAAGGGCAAGAAATCAGCAGCACAGATAAAATGACGTGTCTCCAATTAAAGTGGCATTACAGTGATTATCTTTATTAGGGATTAATGAGTCTAACTGCTTCAGGGTAGAAGCTGTTCCTCAGTCTAGTGGTTCTACACTTAATGCTCCTCAACCTCCTTCCTGAGGGGAGCAGGGCAAAAAAACGTGTGTGTGTGTGTGCTGGGTGAGTGGAGTCCTTCATGATGCAGATTGTCCTCTTCCTGCATCTGGAGGTGTAGATGTCTGTGATGGTGGGGAGGCTTGACTCCAACATCTTCTGTGCAGCCTTCACCACTCTCTGCAAAGCTTTTCTTTCTGCAGCTGTGCAGCCTCCATGCCACACGTTGATGCTGGAGCACAGGATGCTCTCCACTGCACACCAGTAGAAGGAGGTGAGGACTGAGCTTCCCAGTCCAGCTCGTCTCAGCCGCCTGAGGAAGTAGAGTCTCTGATGAGCTTTCTTGATCAGGCTGGTGATGTTGTTGCCCCAGTTGAGTTTGTTGTTCAGGTGTACACCCAAGTATTAAATGGAGACCACGTCCACCGCAGATCCTCCTATATTCAGGGGGGACGGTGTGTTTGCTCCCTCTGAAATCCACAATCATCTCCTCCTTCTTCACATTGATATGGAAATTCATGATGATGGAGGCAGGAAATCTAAAATCTCTGACCCATCTTCTGGTTCAGGGGTCTGAGATTCTGAATGAAACAGAAGTTATCAGGAAGATCAGAACCAAGAGAACGTTTCAGTTTACAGCAGAAGGAAGAGCTGCAGAGACAGGCTGAGACCACGAGGATCCACTTTGAGGACATTTACAGAGTCTGTGTCTGATGAGATCCAAGTTCTCATCAGTTCTTCTGTCTCAAACATTTATATATCTGTCTTGACTGCTTGTCCACATAAAGTCCACCTGAATGTCTCTCAGGTCTCTGTGTCTGTCCCCAGGTGTTTCAGCAAGAACTTCCAGAGACGATCCAGGACATCTGGGACCAGTTAACAGAAGAGTCCGACAGAGTCCCAGAATCCAGCTGGAGACTCGCTTCTCCAAAGTCCTTGGTGGACAGTCTGTGCCGAACCATGTTCTGTCTCTTCAGGGAGTGTTTCAACAGCAAAGATGCACCGATAGACTGTGAGTCAAACTAAAGATGTGTCAGTGTCTCTGAAGGACTGTGAGTCAAACTAAAGATGTCTCAGTGT